ATTTGCACCAGGTTAATCTTTGCCGTTACCGGTTGAAGTTTCGCCTTCCTTTCTGGTCGCATTCGCAAGACGTGTCCAATCCATTGCAGTTGCGACTTTTCACTTTGCAGAAGCAACGACTGTACACCAGGGCTCTCTTGGATATCTGTACTCCCGACCATGTCGAGACGCGTGAGCACGGCGATTCGTTTAAGAACGACCATTTCAGCCGTTTGTATCCAAATCAAAGATTTTCAGTCATGGCCTCGTTGAACATCGGGATAGATATCGAATTAAGCATGGAGTCTTCAGATTCAACCTTGTTTTAGTCATTAGCAACGGTTGGATCTAGTTCACGCGGAACGCTATTGACCATTCCAATTCGCTAGTCGACCGCTTCCCCCAATTTCCCATCGCCACTAAACACGTCCCCGAGGTACGTCAGTTTCTCCATCTGCTCCACCGCCTTTATTTGCTGAGAGCAACGAGAAGAAGTTACTAAGCTTTTTATTTTAGATACGTTCACACACATGCTGACCACGTGGCACTGGGCTGCGAACCTTTCCAGAGAACGCTGTAGACCAGCTTCAGAAGAAGCAAACAAAACAAGCAAGCAACAACCTTCTCTTCTCCACATCTCCTACGTTGATACGATCGTCTCTCCCGGCTGCGCCTGCCTATTCTCTCCATGTACAACACAAGCAGGAGAGAGGACAGAACGCAGCCTTGGCGGAGACCAATGCCAACGCTGAAAGATCTCGACTTGACGACATTTTCTCTGACGTAGCGCTTGCTGTCAGCCTATAGGTCAATCCCATATGTTTGTAGGCACACCCATAGTTTGTTGCACTGAATCGGTCATGGGGTTTCTTTGGGTCCACAAAGCATTTATAAACGGAATAAGCGAAATCCCACGTAGGAAAAATATTTGATCAAAGTTGCTTTGGCCAGGCCTACAGCCACTGTTCTTCTTTAATCCTAGAGTTAGTTATCCCGCGGCTCCTCCTTCCTAGCACCTTTGCGTAGGCTTTCCCAGGAGGTAATGAGGAGGTAATGCCCGGATAATTTGAGCACTCCACTCCATCTGGCCTTCCTTCTTGAACAGACGTCTTCTGACGTCTTCCCCGTAGCCAGTACTGTTTTACAGACATGTCTAAGCCGGCACATGTCTTGTTTCTCCATCACCAAGCATTTCAGGGCGGATTTCATCGATTCCCAGCCTTGCCACTTTTCATGCACTTTATAGCTTGTGTGATTTCATCTACAAAAAGACTAATACCCTTTCCCTTCTAGTCTTCTTGCTGTTGCTCAGAGGGTTTTAATAGTTCCTCAAAATATGTTCTCCATCGTCGAAGTATGTTTTATTCTCTGTAAGAGTGCGTCCAAGCTTGTCCTTCAGCACTCTTAGACTGTCTTTTTCTCTATCTCAGGGATGGTGGCTGGTTTGCCAAAATGCCTTGTTGGCCATCGGGAAATTCTATTCAGTCAGCTTCATTCTTTCACAGTGATGCTCGTGGAAACTGACCATTGGAAAGATAACCGTTCTTATCGCTTACGAATGCGGTAACAAAGCACCCGGAAAGAAAAATCCTTGTCCATAATCAGGTCAAAGAACAGTGTGAAAAGACTTCGGGATTGTGTAACACGCAGCTGATAAAAGTCATGTTTCTCAATGGCCAGTGTACGCGCATCATTAAAGAAAGAAACTGGCTCAATGGACTCATCAGTGAGACATTAATTATCCAGCCCTGCAAAAATACGAACCGGGACAAAGGAAACGAACTGTTTGGCTCCAAACGTTATAAAAGCTGCAGGCCAGACACTGGCCGAAACGTCGGTACTGGTTAATCACCCGATTGAGGAATTTGTTTGCATATGTTTTATATAGATTTTATCATATAAGGTCAATAATTATATATACACAGGAGGTTAATGGAAGATAAAAATACTATGTACTAATATACGTATTCAAATGATATTTTTAGTTTTCAACACGGCTGCTTCACTGTCTTCTTATAGTAGAGGAATGAAGGCATAAGAAATGAAACAGGTTCAGGTTGTTATCAGGCAATGATGTCTAATACTTTCTGACAGAAGTTTAAATCAGTTGTAATATAGAAAATTTAGACAGAATTCTTCTCAAATGATAAACGTTATAGTGCATATGATTCTTTGCTGGACAGTCCAAAATTTCTTATAAGTTTCGTAGCATAACTGCTGTCTAGAGGAGTAGATTTTCTCAGCATTTTCCATGGCGGCAAAGGATCGTCCAAAATGCACAGCTCCTGTTCGTTGAAGCACCACTCCAACGCTTTTCGCTGAGCAACCAAAGCGATGAGCTACAAAAGTATTTTAATTCAAAGTTAATAAATTGTTTCCTGTCTCTGCTATACCATAAGAGGGAAGAACAGCTCGATGACGTCGACGTAATTTACAATACACAGCGCTGCAAGGCCGATTATCTGGAATACAGTGAACATATGTATTCTTCGAACGGGAACCAGTCGAAGATAACTAAAGTTTGGCTGGTTTTTCATTGGTGTGAAGAAAAGAAGGATACGTTGAAAAAACTGAAAATAATTATTTTTATATTATTTTTTAAACGTCACCACAAATACCTACCTCTATATTCACCAAACAGCTGATGCCCATGTATAGAAAAATGCCAAGCAGAACCGGAATTGGTATGTGCTGCAATACGATAAAAAGTAAATGCCACGTAAGTTCAGTTAAAGCTTACCCTTTCTATTGGTGCCATTAAAATACATAGACCCATAAGTATGTGTGCAAACACTGTGCTAAAACGCTGCTCTCTATAAAGAATCATGTTTTTTCTTTGTACAAATGTCCGCCAGTGTTAGATATTACCGTACTCCCAAAAATATAGGCTTATCTCCCGGGGCTGTGTTTTTAGAGTTCATCCGGAGTACGTGCATATGTGTCAGCGACAGGATAGTGGCAGATAGAAATAACGGTATTCCCATTATGCCAGCGATGATCGTCAAAATTACTACCACCAGCAGATCCAGATGATAGCCGAATCCTTTCTGTATCAAACGTGGTTACAGGTGCTACAGTAACAGACGTACTCGATTTACCCTGAGCTGATTTTCCTTCCGGTTCAGCATTACGGTCGTCACATGTTGGTCCATCACTATCAGCACGACCAACAATAACGCAGGGAAGAATATGATCAATGGCTCTGACCAGTGTCCAATGTGAAGCGGGTTCACTATCCAGCTACGGTCGAACGTGGGCTGCAGGATGAAGGTTTGCAATATCGTATGGAACATGAATGCGAATGAGCTTACCTTGAATTCCGTTGGTACTGTCAAGGAAGGAATCGGTAGGGCTACCAGATAATTTATCAAGGTCATGATGAATATGGATAAAAGTAGAGAAAAGTCTGATATCATTTCTCGAATCTAAAAACGGTTAGCTTTTTTAGATGTTTGCTATAAATCATAAACAGCAAATTCAAAATCTACTTGAGGGAGAGACATAAAGTAAAACAGTTTTTTAGTGTAAATACATTTATAAACCTTGTAGAATACGTCAGTCAGTTTCGATAACCGTTTATCCTTTCGTGTTGT